GACAATTTGTGTTCTATTGCTAGTTATGAATAACATATGATGTCGTGTGGCTGCAGTAGGGCCATGTGGTTTTGAAATTCCGAAATTTTAACACTTAAATCTGGAGGGATTTCTGCCAAAAGCCACTGGGTTTCGAGATCTGCTACTGAGTCTCTGGGATCATGGCCGTTGAGCAGCTTGATGAGAAGCCAGAGAGGCCGTTCGTGGGCGATGACCTGGGGTCTCATTGGGGTGGGGAGGACAGGCCCGGCTCCCACCCCATCCCATGAGGCCCATCAAGTTTCGTCACTGCGGGCCCAAGCCTGACTGTCCAATGGCCTCTGGAGGATGACAGCCACCAAGTCGCCAAGAGGGAGCAGGGGGAGGGACAGCACCCATTCCCCCCTGGGGTGGCCCGGCGACAGTAACCTACTGTGGGGTCCAGACACATTTCTGCCAAAAGCCGCTGGGTTTCGAGGTTTGTTTCTGAGTCTCTGGGATCATGGCCGTTAAGCAGCTTGATCAGGAGCCAGAGAGGCTATTTGTGGGCGATGACTTGGAGTCTCATTGGGGTGGGGAGGACAAGCCCGGCTCCACCCCATCCCGTGAGGCCCTGTGTGTCTCGTCACTGGGGGCCCAAATGTGACTATCCAGTGGCCTCAGACGGATGGCGGCCACTGGGCCACCAGGGGGAACAGGCCAAGGCACGAAACCTATTCCCACCTGGGTTGGTCCAGCACCAATAGCCTACTGCAGAGACCAGATGCATTTCTACCTAAAGCCACTGGGTTCTGAGATTCGTTTCTGAGTCTCTGGGATCATGTCCATTAAGCAGTTCAATCAGGAACCAAAGAGGCCTTGCCTCCAATTATATAGCTGAGCCGGAGGAGGTGTGTGGGTGTGTTTCCCACATACCTAACTTCTTGGTAAACTTTGCCCCAAGTTTTTGGGGTCTGGCCAAAGGCACAGCAGCAATTTTGGGGTATCTGGAAGTCTGAAGGCGCCATGAGGCTGCTGATGCACTCGCCTCACAGGTACAGATTGACCTGCTGGCAGCACCATACCCCCTTTTTGATCTCTTTTGAGATTTATTTATGGGTCTCTGAGGCAAAGCCAGTAGAAAAGCTTACATGGTGGCAGTCCTGGTCCCCTCATTTGCCCTCCCAGCCCCTTGTCTCACATAGAAGGACCCTCCTGTCAGCAGTCAGGTCCCCACCCAGGACAAGAAGCTCCGACCCAAGAATTCATCGCCCTGCAAAGGCCTTTGTCCATGTCCGGGACAGTCGTAGGCTCAGGGATTAGGACCTAGATGTCTCGGACCCATTATTCTACCCACCACTGTCCCCTGGGCTCTGCTCCAGCACAGGAACAGAGACTCTTCCCCAGGAGGATATTTATTTCTGCGCAAAGAGGATGATGAAGGGATGGAGGGAGGGGCAGATGGATGAATGAATAGAGGAAAGGATGGACAGATGGACGGATAAATTGAGGGGTGGATGGATGGAGGGATGGAGGGAGATATGGATGGGTGGATGGATGGAGGGAGGGAGGGATGAGAGTATGGATGATCTATGGTTAGACAGAAAGACAAGTGGATAGATGGACAGATGGGTGGGTAGACAGGTGAATGGATGAGTGGATAGAGGGAGGACTGGTCAACAGACTAATCAGTGATAGATGATCAGTGATAGGACTTTCCAAATTGTTGTTACCGCCCCTGGGGGTGCTGGAATGATGGGTGAGGTGTTAGTTTAGGGTTAGAGAGAGATGAGAGTGAGAAGAAACATACAGAACTAGATGATGAAATAAAAATGACAGAATTGGGGAGTGGATTCACACTCAGCAATGCTCAGGGCTAACTTCAAGTCCTACACTCAAAAATCATTCCTGGTGGTGCCCTGGGCACTGGATGTAGCACCAGGGTTCAAACCTGGATTGGCTGCATGCAAGGCAAACTCCCTCCTTGTTCTATATTGCTCTGACCGCCAAAGATAATAGATTTAGATTGAAAGCAGATATTGAGGGGTCACGGTCCTCCCGTTGTTCGTCGATTTGCTCGAGCGGGCCCAGTAACATCTCCATCATGAGACTTGTTGTTACTGTGTTTGGCATATCGAGTACGTCACGGGTAGCTTGCCAGGCTTTGCCGTGCAGGCGAGATACTCTTGATAGCTAGCCAGGCTCTCCGAGAGGGGCGGAGGAATCGAACTCGGGTCGGCCATGTTGGCTGCATGCAAGGCAAACGCCCTACCACTGTGCTATCGCTCCAGCCCGTGAAAATATTTATGTATTTAAATGATGAAACTATGTATTTAATTGTTGACTGCCCTCTAATTGTTCATATTATCTGCCAATAACACATTCCCCTAAAAGATGCAGGTTCCTTAAGAGAAATAACTGACTCCTGGTCTAAGAGAAACATCATGCCAAAAAAATAAACAAATCATCAAAGATTAATGAAGTAATATAAAAGGTATAGAAGCCAACAAGAAGGAGCTCCCATTAACCTAGCATGGAGCAATTTGGCCCTTAAGAATTAATTGACTTAAATACATCAATTATATAAAAAGTTATGGTTCATACTCCAAAAGAATAAAATTAATCAGTCTCCGCTGGAGACTTCTGAGAAACCAACTCATTATTCTGAAAATTGATAAATGAAAGATTCAAACATTTTACTTGCCTTTCCATTACAAACTCCATTTAATAACCAAATTGTAGAGCTAAATTACTTCTTTGCTAATTAAAGAATTCCAGCTAATAATTGAATAAATTAATCAGAAAAATCATCATTTTTGCATCTCCCCCCAGTGAAATACTAAATCAAGACAACTGTCATTAACAGATACTAAGCAGGGAGTGCAGGGAGTTGACAGGATGAAGGGTCATTGGTGGGGCTGCTGAAATGTGCCAGGCGTTTTTTTTGTTTTGTTTTGTTTGTTTTTTTGCTAGCATGTTGGGTCACACTTAAGTGTGGTCTGTCCCTGGCCGGGGACTGGTCAGCATCCTGGGAAAAGAACAGAACCTGCGAGGCTTGGACTAGAGTAAGGGGTCTGGGGAGACTCAGGTTTTTGTTTAGATGGGAGCTGGAAGAAAGAAACCTTGGCCACCTAGTACGCAAAAATGGGGCTTTTCAAATGAGACCTCTAGAGGACCTTAAAGGCAAGGCTGGAGGTTTGGACTTTGTCCCGTGGGCCCCAGGGAGGTGCAGACTATGTTTTGGAAGACAGGCCCGGCTTTCTCAAAGCATTGTTTTAAGAAGGTCAATTTGCCCTGAGTGATCCAGGTGCCTGTCACAAGGAGAGGCTGCAAGATAAGTTAGTTCGAAAGCAGATGAAGGTAGATTTTTTTAATACACAGGAGGACAATTCTCCTGTATACTGTTCAGTCCAAATTTTTACTAACTAAAGATTCTGGAAATCCAGGAAGAGTCTCTTGGGTCATTTTCCAGCCTCCTAATTCCCCTCCGAGGTCTGGGCATTTCCAGCCCAGAATATGCAGGGACCATATTCATGTCATACCCATATTTACCACGAGAGGGCGCAGCGAGCTCATGTCGCTTGGCTCAGGCTGAGGCTGGGCCCGGCACAGGCCTGAAAGCAAAGCCTGTGTGTGTGTGTGTGTGTGTGTGTGTGTGTGTGTGTGTGTGTGTGTGTGTGTGTGTGTGTATGATGGAGACTGACCATTTCACTCCTCCTCCAGACAAAGTCCACTGCTCTCTGTTCCCACGAGGCTTGTGTACATTCCATCCCCCATGGTTCCCTGAGCACTGTCCCGGATGATCCCTGAGCACATAACTGAGAGTAGTCTCGGGCACCACCTGCTGTGGCCCAAGAACAATGAACAAAAAAAAATCAATACAAAAGAGATGCAGGAGATAGCTCTGAGAGCTGGAGCACGGTCTCTGCATATGGTCGCCCAGGGTTCAATCTCCAGTACCACTCAGTCCCTGAACACCATTGGAGTGAACCCACAACAAATAAAAAAGAGAAATGAATGGAGAAGAAAGAAATCCTATGAGGAACATCAGGAGTTGGAAAGTTCCAAGGAAACAGGCCCAACAGGATTCTTGCTGAGGAACCACTGTCCTCGGGGACCCGTGGTCCAGGGCGTGGTGGGATAAGGAAGCTTATCGCTGCCCTGGGGAGGCCGAGGTTCTGGCTAAACTGACATCAGAGGATGCTTGCCCAGCAGAAATGATCATGAAGACAACAGAGGAGAAAGAAGAGTTTAGGGCCTGGGAAAGAATCTCTGTAGAGCTCAGTCTGGCAGCCTGCCAGTTGACAAGACGTTGACTGTCCTGTCCTGGGATTTCCTGGCCAGCTTTTGCATCACATCTTCCATGTTCAGCTCCATCTCAGCCCAGCAACCTTTACCAGAAAGTGACTTGGTCTCCGACGGTAGTGGTAGTACAGCACGTGGTCAACCTGAGTTTCATCCCAAGCATCCCCCATGGTACCCCGAGCCGGCCAGTAGTAACTCCTGAGAGCAAAGTCAGAAGTAAGCCCTGAGCAGTGCCGGATGTGGCCCCCAAAACAAACAACAACAAAATAGAAAGTTACCAGGGGGCTGGAGCGATAGCACAGCGGGTAGGGCGTTTGCCTTGCACGTGGCCAACCCGGGTTCGATTCCCAGCATCCCATATGGTCCCCTGAGCACCGCCAGGAGTAATTCCTGAGTGCAGAGCCAGGAGTAACCCCTGTGCATTGCCGGGTGTGGCCCAAAAAGCAAAAAAAAAAAAAAAAAAAAAAAAAAAAAAAGTGACCAGGTCTCAGACTGCCTCCCTTTCCCTACCTGGCCACTGGGGGGCGCCGCCGGGTCTCGTGAGAGCCCGGCCACTGCGCCCGCCCGCGGAGGCTCCGGCGCATCAAAGCCTAAAGGGGAAAGTCCTTACCCAGCCGCGTGTGCAGGGGAATGAATGGAGCCGCCCAGGCCCGCCCCGTGCTCCCTCGGGGCCGCCTCCACGGGCCCCCGGGCCAGACGGAGCTGCGGGAAGAGCAAGTGCAGCCGCGAACCCCAGCATGGCCCGAACCCCGCCGCTGTGGATGCTGCTGCCGCTGCTCTGGGCGTCCACGGGAGCCTGTGAGTGACCCCCCCCACCGCCGTGAGCCCTCTCTATGCGCAGGACCCCTAGACCCCAAGATGCTCCGTTCCCGCCCCGCCCCGCCCCGCCCCCCAGCCTGCCACCCCAAAGCCAGCTCCCTGGAAGCTGTAACTGCAAATCCCCAGGGTGATGTTCCCGGTCTCTGGAAGAACCTCGATCAGTGACCTCTCAAAGTCCCGCTCCCTGGAACTTTCTCCCCAAGGTCTGCAGACCACCACTGCAGATGTTTGAGGTCTGGGTCCATAGCTCCACTCCGATCCCCAAATGTCTGGCTCTGGGGTGTCTGTGCTCCCTGCTCAGTGACCACCTGCTGTGTGTCCCAGACATTGCAGGTACCAGACTGCTCCCGGGAAAGGCTGAGCTCAGACAGTTTTAGGATTTTGACCCCCTGAGAGGGTTCATGAAGCATCTCAGCTGTCCCAGCAAACCTGCTGGGTGGGGGTGGGTGAGGAGATGCTGAGGGCAGCATGGGAGTGTGTTATCACTAAAGACTTCATCAGTGGAGTCGGGATCGAGAGCCAAGTTCACAGTCCCCGACACGTGTGCTCGGGGCCAGGGCGCGTCAGCGTGAGGCAGGAGCCTAGAGTCAGCTAAGCGTCAGGCGTTTCCCAGGGTGAGGCTGATTCAGTCTTTCCAAGGGGGCGTTTGCCCCAGGAGCAACAGGCAGAGGGTTTTGTGCTCCTTGTAGATGTTGAGGGCTGTCATTGCTGGGTCATCAGGCAGTTATTTCAGTTTGGTGTTATTGTGGTTTATTTTTCCCCTTTTTTGGGGGGGCTGGGGTGGGCCACATCTGGCGGTGCTCAGGGTTACTCCTGGCACTGTACTCAAGAATCACTCCTGGTGGGGCTGGAGTGATAGTACAGCGAGTAGGGCGTTTGCCTTCCATGTGGCTGACCCGGGTTCGATTCCCAGCATCCCATATGGTCCCCCCAGCACCACCAGGAGTAACTTCTGAGCTCAAAAGCCAGGAGTAACCCCTGTGCATCACCAGGTGTGACCCAAAAAGCAAAAAAAAAAAATCACTCCTGGCAGTGCTCATCATTCCTTGACCATGTGGGATGCCAGGGATCAAACTTGGTTTTGGCAGTGTGCAAAGCAAGAACCCTCCCCACTGTGCTATCGCTCCAACTTCTGTTTTGATTTATTTTGGTTTGATTTGATTTGGGGGTCACACCCAGAGTGTTCAGGGCTTACTCCTGGTTCTGTGCTCAGGGATCACTCCTAGCAGGCCTCAAGGGACCACATGAATCGCTGGGGATGGAACCCAGGTTGTGTGCAAGGCAAGTAATTCACAATTGTCCTATCTCTCCGGCCCCTATTTTGAAGTTTCTGATAGTGTCCCTACCCTTACTGCAGAAACTGAAGCACTTATGTCTCCTGCCCACAGAGAGGGGGAGTGTTTCCTTTTCTCTACGTCCCCACCAGTACAGGTGGCAGTGATACCCAATAGCCACCCTGATATGCGTTTCCCTGATATTTCATCAGGGACAGAGAGAGTTTTTTGGCTGCTTGGTTGGTTGGTTGGTTGGTTGGTTTTGGAGTCACACCCAGAGATGCCCAGGGTTTATTTCTGGCTCTGTGTTTAAAGTTCACTTCTAGCAGTGCTCAGGGGACCCTATGGGGTGCTGGGGATTGAGCCCGGGTTGGCTGTATGCAAGACAAGCACCTCACCCACTGTACTATCATTCTGGCACCTGACAAAAAGCATTTTTTCATGTGTCTTAACCACCTGGATGTCCTCTTTGGAGAGTGTCTGTCTAGGATCTGGGAGAAGACTCAAAGATTGGGGCACATTCTCTGCACATGGAAACCCTAGACTGATTCTCAGCACTTGAGCACTGAGCCAGAAGTAGCTTCTAAGCACTCCCTGGGGAGACCCAAAACCAAAAAGAGACATGTCTGTTCAGTTCTTCTTTTGTTGGCTGGTGGTTGTAGGTTTGCAACACAGCAAAGATGTTCATAAGCAGCTGGTGGATTGGATTCAGTCCAGACTTTGCAGATGCCCAGGCCCAAATCTGACCTCTAACCTTACCCACTGTATGAATGCAGCAAAGGAATCTGTGCCTCAGTTTCTCCCTCTTTGAAACGGTACTAAAGGTAGCATTTAGCTCCACAAGGTGCTGGGAAACTAAGTGCTATGTTGGGGGAGCCCTCGGAAGAGCCCTGATCTGTGGGAGCAACTCAGGAGCGGTCACGTTCTCATCCCTTTTTACTAACTAGGAAGAAGGACCAGAGAGGCTTAGGAACTGCCTGAGGCTTCCCAGCAGAGTCTGAAAGTTGTAATTGGCCCCTTCTTGTGCCAGGATGCCCACCCTTTCCCAACCCTGAGTAATCAATACTCCCCTGGAATAATGATATCATATTTGGGGCTGAAGAGACAGTTCATTGGGAACAGTGCTTGCCTGGAACCTCATTCAATTCCCAGCACCCCATATGGTCACCTGAGCCCTGCCAGGAATGACCCCTGAACGCAAAGTCAGCAGTAAATTCCTGAGCACCACGAAGTGTGGCTGAAAATCCAAAATATAGTAACAATAACAGTAATGAACAATGCCATCATTCATTGATTCTAAGATCTAGTGGATGGTCCTTGACTCCCTCCTCTAAGTGGGAGGCACGGATGGACCAAGTCTGCAGTGAAGAACAACGAAGGACATAGTTTGTGAATAGACTAAGCTGCAAAGTGCACATTTGAAGGTGGTTTAAATCAGCAATTTCAACCATCAGTGACCAGTGCACTGGGCCTTGGGCTGGACGTTATGAACCTCCTGGGTAGATCAGTAGTTTTCTACCTTTTTGTCTGCCCAAAGACAGCAGTTGCAGTCACTGGTTTAAAAGACAATTGAAACTTTGAAACCACAGTATTCCTCACACAGATGGAGAGGGTAGTAAAGTGCTTGCCTTGGACACAGCTGGCTTGGGTTCAATCCCTTGCGCTCGGTATGGCACCCTAAACCCCACCAGGAGTGATCCTTGGGCACAAAGTCAGGAGTAAACCCTGAGCACCACCAGGATTGGCCCCAAAACAAAAACAACACAATATTCCTCAGAGGGCTGGAGCGATAGCACAGCGGTAGGGCGTTTGCCTTGCACGCAGCCAACATGGCCAACCCGAGTTCGATTCCTCCGCCCCTCTCGGAGAGCCCGGCAAGCTACCGTATTCGATATGCCAGACACAGTAACAACAAAGTCTCCAATGGAGACGTTACTGGGCCCGCTCGAGCAAATCGATGATCAACGGGAGAGCCTTTACCTTTTACCTTTATTCCTCAGAATTTAAAATACTGGTGATGCTGTCAATCAAGGAAATACGGTAAAAATTAAAACCTGGTCCCAGCACCAAGGCAGATCCACTCACTCCAGGTCCCCGGCACTGTTTGCTGCCCTCCCCCCACGCACACACATGCGCGCGCGCGCACACACACACTGACACACACACAGGGCCAGGGCCCTCTATCCCCCTTAGGTGCAGGTGATCACCAAGGTGAGCAGCCTGGGGGAGGAAGGAGCTCTTCGTGGGCTGAGCCTCCTCGGCTATTCCCGCAGGGACGGAGAAGGTGTCGGTGCGGGCGCCCGCCGAGGTCTACAGCTTCCTGAGCTACACCGCGAAGCTGCCCTGCAGCTTGCGACCCCTGGAACCCAACACCACGGAGGTGACGCAGATCACGTGGTTGCGGCAGGAACCGTCGGGGAAACGACGCATCGTGGCGGCCTTTCACCCGCTCAGGGGCCCCCACGTCTCCGAACCCGACCGCGACCGGATGGAGTTTGCAGCCGCTCGGCAGGGCGCAAACCCACTGGACGGTTCGCTGACCATACATAGGATGCGGCCCGAGGATGAAGCCAACTACACTTGCGAGATCACCACGTTCCCCTGGGGAACAGGGAGCGCGAGCACCTGGCTCCGCCTGTTCTGTGAGTGGGGAGGGGCGGGGCCTAGGTGGGGCTAGAACTGGGGGCGTGGCTAAGTGTAGCGGGTGGGGCTAACTATAGGGCGTGGTGCGTTCGGTGGGCGTGGCTGCGTGTGGTGGGTGGGGCTAACTATAGGACTGGTGTGTTTGGTGGGCGGGGCTAAGTGTGATGGGTGGGGCTAACCATAGAGCGTGGCCGAGTACAATGGGCGAGGCTAGGTCTTGGGCATAGCGAACTATAGGGGCGGGGCTAAATGTAGTGGAGGTACTAAGTATAGGAATGAATGCTAAGTATAGCGGTTGGGGCTAGGACTAGGGGCAGGGCTAACTATCGGGGTGGGGCTAAGTGTAGGGGTGGGGGCTCGGTATTGGGGCGTGGCTAACTATAGAGTACGTAGGGTGGGACTAAGTATAGGGGTGGGGTTAGGCAGAGTGGGTGGGGATAAATATATAGGTGGGGACTAGGCAGGGAGGGTGTGGTTAGGTATGGGGTAGGGTTAAGTATAGGGGATGGGGCTAGGAATAAAGCCTGTGGCTAGGTACAGGGATGGGACTATGTTTAGAGGTGCTGCTGCATATAAGGGGTGGGGCTAAGTATAGGACATGGGGCTAGGTCTAGGGGTGAAGGTAAATATAGGGGTGGGGCTCGGTATAGGGGTGGGGCTTCGGGGAAGTGAGCAGCTGGAATCTGGAGGTTAGCTGAGTGGGGAGAGCGTGGAAAGGGCGGTTCCTTCCCCTCAGAGATTCTCTGCCGACAGGGGCCGGAGCAGCAGTACAGCAGGCAAGGCGCTTGCCTTGCACTTCAGTCAACTCGGGTTAGATCCTCAACATTCCATATGCCCGTGCACAGGAGTAATAATTCCTGAGCTCAAGGCCAGCAAGTAACCCCTGTGTGACCTAAAAACAAGCAAAAAAAAAAAAGCAAAAACAGGAGTCACCGCTGAGCATCATTCTGCTGTGACCCAAAAAGCAAAAAGAAAAGGTTCTCTGGAAGGAAGAAAGCAGCAGAGCAATAGAGAAGGGAGGGGGCGTGGGTAAGGGGGCGGTCAGAGGAGGGGTGCCGAGGATCGGAGAGAGTCTTGTTGGTTGGGAACAATCTGGGAGATTGTACAACACGGCCACTAACACCAAACCCTCACTGTCTACACCTGGGCCACCAACACCACCAACATCAAACCCTTATTGTCTACACCTGGGCCACTACACTACAGCCCTTCTTGGTCTCCAACTCATTGGCATTAGCCCTTCCTGCTTTCACTTTGCCTCTCCTTGGCTACTGTCTACACTGCCTCCCACACTGTCTACACCACCTTCACCAGTGTCTCCACACACTGCCTCCACCTGCTGCCTGGGTAACTCTGACCCAGCTGCCCAATGTCCTACACTGATGCCCCTTGTCTGCCCAGCGCCACCCAACCCAATCTGTGCCCCTTTCTGCATCTGCACCAGCAGATTTAACCCCCAATTAACAGCTGGTGACAATCTCAGAAATTTCCTGTCAGAATGTGGAAAAATTTCCCTAGGATTTGTCTGTAGCCTTTTTGTTCATTACATGGTTTCTGGTTATTTTTTAAAGAAATATGCATTTTTTATTTAATAATAATAGAATTTAAAAAGAATACACCAAATACCTTTCCTTTCTTTTTGTTTTTGTTATGGGGCCACTCCTGGCATTGTCAGGGTTTGCGTCTGCTCTGTGCTCAGGGATCACTCCTGATAGGATTCGGGGAACCAGAAGTGGTTCCAGCTTGGAACATTCGAGGTGAGAAGGAGGAGGAGGAGGAGGAGGTGGAGGAGAAGGAGGAGGAGGAGGATCAGGGACCCAAACCTCCTCCTCCCAGGCATCCTATTGAGGCCATTCCTGTGGGACCTGAACTCCTCCTAAGTGTCGGCTTCTCAGGGCATCTCCCCTCTCTCAGCCTCTATGTCCCTTTTGTGTTGTTGGTTTTTTGTTGTCGTTATTTTAGTCACATACAACAGTGTTCAGGGATCACTCCAGGTGATGCTCAAGAGACCATGGCGGGGGGGGGGGGCTGGAGCGATAGCACAGCAGGTAGGGTATTTGTCTTGCATGCGGCCAACCCAGGTTCGATTCCCAGCATCCCATATGGTCCCCCGAGCACTGCCAGGAGTAATTCCTGAGTGCAGAGCCAGGAGTAACCCCTGTACAACACTTTTTGGGTGTGACCCAAAAAGAAAAAAAATAGAGACCATATGGGATGCTGGGGATCAAGGCAAGACAAGGCAAGCACTCTCCCCTCTGTCCTATCTCATCAGCCCAAACTGCCTGTTGCTTTCCCAGACGCCCCCCAGGTCTCCATCTCCCGCTCTGATGTCCCCGGGCAGCAGGGCCGCAAGGAGACCATCCTGACCTGTGACGTCCGCAGCAACCCGGAGCCCAAAGGCTATGAATGGAGCACGTGAGTCCTGGAGCCTGACCCCCAGATCAGAGTGGGAAGGCTGGGGAATGGCCTGCTGGTCTGAGGGGGTTGTCTGAGGGATGGGGTCTTGGTCCGAGATGAGAGATAAACAGAACCTATCTGGAGAGAAGTTACCTTTGGCCCCTATTAAAGCTGTCTGGGTGCGGGCAAGGAACGCAACTCAATGGTAAATAGGTGCCCACATGTCTGAGGCGCCGGTTCATTCCCCAGCTCCCTACAGCCACATTTTTTTTTCAGTAAAATAAAGATGTCTTGTATATACAGTTTCTGAGGGGCTCGACCCAGGCGGCAGGTACCCCAGCTCTTCACGGGTCCTGCTCTGTGCCTCATCCTTACCCTCCTGCCCCAGATCCCGGCTCCCAACTCAGCACTGGACTGTGCCCGGTCAAAGATCACGGCACCCCAATAAGTACATCATTTGCCCAGGTCACAGCCCTGAGGGCAAGAGAGGGCATAGTGGAGGCAGTAACTGATAACAGGGCTGTTGGTCAGGGGGGACATTTTGGGGGGATCTAAGCTAAGAAAGTGGCTTTCAGGCTGGAGCAAATAGTACAGTGGGTAGGGCGTTTGCCTTGCACGCAACCGATCTGGGTTCGATTCCCAGCATCCCATATGGTCCCCCGAGTACCGCCAGGAGTAATTCCTGAATGCAGAGTCAGGAGTAACCCCTGATCATCACCGGGTGTAACCCAAAAAAAAAGCACAAAAAAAAAAAAAGTGGCTTTGCTCTGCTTAAGGTGTGAGCTCCAGGGGGCGCTGAGCAGAGAGCCATGGGCTCTGTTCTTAGCAAGTTCTCTCGGGGCCACCAGGTGGAGACAAAGGACAGACAGAGAGGGGGACCAAAAGCTAAAGCAGGTGGGGGACTAGACAAAGGACTAGAAAGTTCTGGATGATTACTGAAGTCTGAAGGCAGAGCCTCAGGATGCCCTGAGTAGTTATAGGGGAGTGTGAGGAACAATTACTCCAGGTATTTCCCAACTTGGGCCTTATTTTGGGCAGCTGCAGGAGTTCCTCAGTCCCTGTCACTCTGGGCTCCAGCAGAGGCCGCGTTCTCACTCGCCTGTGTCCCCCAGGACCACAGGCCCCCTGCCCTCCTCTGCTGTACCCCAAGGCTCCCGGCTCCTGATCCAACCCACTGAGGAATCCATCAACACGACCTTCATCTGCCGCGTCTCCAATGCTGTGGGGACAGGCCAGGCAGCCAGGAGAGTCCTGCTCCCAGGTGAGGACCAGGAGGGGAACCCCAGGAAGAAGCTGAACAGGACTGTCCCTGAGAAGGGATAGGATGGTCCCTGGTAAAGGAGCCCCTCAGCCAGGAGATGCTTCCTGAATCCTGCCAAGGCCTTTGCCTGGATACTCAGAAAGGCCTTTCCAGGGCCTGAAATCAAACTCTAGCTATTGTGGCTGTTAGAAGCTCCACTCAAAGTTGGCTGAGCAAAGCAGAACAGTATCAAAAAGTCACCTTCTTGGTGTTGGAATATTGAATACCTATAGCAAAGCATCATGAACAATTCTGTGAATCGTGGTGTTTAAATAAGGCAGGAAGAAGAAGAAGGAAATGGAGAAGAAGGGGAAAAAATAAAATAAAAACCACCTTCAGGGGCTGGAGAGATAGTACAGTGTGTAAGGAGTTTGCTTTGCACGCAACTGACCTGGGTTCGATCCCCAGTATTACATATGGCCCACCAAACACAGCTAGGAATAATTCCTGAGTGCAGAGCTAGGAGTAACCTCTGAGCATGGTCAGCTGACCTGAAATCAAACAAACAAGTAAATAAATAAACTATTTTTTTAAATGCAACTTCAGGGGCCTGAGCAATAATACAGCAGGTAGGACACTTGCCATACATGCTGTCAATCCAGATTCAATCCCTGGCACGATAAGTGGCCCCCTGAGCCCAGTCAGGAGTGATCCCTGAGCACAGAGTCCTGATCACAGTCGGACATAGCCAAAAAAAGAGAGAGAGAACGTTTGATTCAAGCTAGGTGCCCCAAATGTGGTTATAATTCAGGAACTTTGTTTTTATTTCCATTTATCTCTATTTTGGCTTTTCTTGGTGTTTGAGGCCCAGAGAGCCAAGAGTCACTTCCCTCCATCCTTCTCCCCCATGTTTTACAGGTTTCCTGTCCCACAGTTTAGTAATGGGTTGGAAAAGACATCAAAACTTTCTTCTTGTTTATTTTAGGGCCACACCTGACAGTGCTCAGGGGTTACTACACCTGTCCTGGATCTATACCCAGGAATTACTCTTGGTGGGCTAGGGGGACGCTATGAGATACTGGGGACCAAACCCGGGTCTGCTGCGTGCCAGGCAAGCACCCTACCCGCTATGCTATGGCTCCGGCCCCAGACATCAAAACTTTGTATAGTTTTGCCCAAAGTCCCAGGACTGACTCTCACTGGTTCAGATTAGGTCACATGATCCCCAGGAACCAATCACAACAGTCATGCAGAATAGAGTGTTCTGATTGGTCAGCCGTGTTGAACCTCAGCACTCTAAGGAGTGAGTGTGGGTGGTAATTGCCCGAAGGATGGAGGGGAGATGTTTGCTGGGCAGGGGGTACCCCGGCTTCTTCCATCTTAAGTCCCAGCGGCCTTCTCTTCCACCAGACCCTGCCAGTGAAGAGCCACACTCCAACTGGCTTAAGATCAGCCTCCTGATTGGAATCACGCTTCTCCTGGGCATCGTGGCAGTGTCTGTGTTTTAGTGCCGGTGCTTCAGCAACCCTGTGAGTGGCCTCTTCTCTCGAACATTCCCCACTCACCCACCGATCGTGAAAGTCCCAGCGCCACGGTCACTGAGCACCTCCATGTCCCAGCCTCTGTACTCGGCCCTGCATACTGCAGCCCAGAATAGAAGGAAGGGAGGGAGGGAGGGAGGAAGGAAGGAAGAGAGAACCCTTAGGAGGAAATGCTAGGTCAGAGACATGAAATATTAGCAGCTAGATCACAAGGCAATTCTGGGACCCTATTGATAGTTCCCACCATCCCCAGTGAAACTGCCTCATACCAGCTAGAGGCGCCCTCCTTCAGGAAGTCCTCCATCATGCTCCAGCATCACAGACCAAGCACTCCGCCCTGCCCACTCTGGGTCATGCTATGAGGGCATGTGTCTGCCTGCCCCATGGACTGTGATCTTCTCGAGGGTAGTACCCTCTAAGTTTCATGCATTCCCCTCCCTCCAGCACCAGGCTTGTGTTCCCCTGTATTAGTCATCCCCAGATCACAGCGGACTGTGCTCAGTCTCACCCCTCAGGCTTACTGATGAGTCACCAGCAGAGGATGGGCTCTCTGTGACTCAGTCTCCTCATCTGTAAAGTGGTGCCTCCCCAGTACTTGGGACAGCACCGAGCCCTGCATAAGGCACGTTGTCCCCCTCATTCCCTAGCTCTGTCACTGTGACTGTCGCTATTGGGTGTCACATCAGCAGGGCAGGGAGAGGAGCGTTGGGAGCGTCGGTGCCCAGCCAGGTCTCCTGCCCCTGGAATGCCCCTGGAAGGAGGAAGCACTCAGGACTTGTTGGGAAGCCCCAGCGGGTGAGAAACTGAGACCCAGAAAGGGGAGCCCAGGGCTCAAGGTCACACAGCTCCTGAGGGTCAGGGCCAGACCTGGACCCCACCTGGCTCCTGAGGCCACGCTCTGCTGAATGCCACACTCATGATGAGTAACAGGCCAGGACGGGGCTCAGCCAGCATTGATTATATTGATTTATAATCAGTGACAGGGCTGGGATGGGGCTAAGTCAGGATTGAGAGTAGCACTGTAGCACTGGCCTCCCGTTGTTCATCAATTTGCTCAATATGCCAAAAACAGTAACAACAAGTCTCACAGTGGAGACGTTACTGGTTCCCGCTCGAGCAGGTTTGAGAGTGTTGGTTGATAGCTAATAACAAGGGGGATGGGGCTCAGCCAGTATTGAGAATATTGATTGATGATTAATAATGAAATGCAGCTCAGTGGTGGAGCTCATGACTTGCAGAAACGAGGTCCGGCTTCCATCCCCAGCACTGCAAAAAAAAAAAAAAAACTGAAAAAAGAGTCAGAACTATAAATCAGCAGGTAGGGCCTCTGCCTTTCTGCCTTGCTCACAACCATCCCCGGCATCCCAAATGATTCCCTGCAAGTTTTGGTAAGTGGAGGCAGGGGAGGGGGCAGGAGTTCTGAGCCCCCAGCCCAGTTACGAGGTACTGTCCCAGGAGTACCAAGTTGTCGTGGCAGCAGGGCAGGCAAGGGACCCTCCTGGGAGGTTTACCCAGGAATCCCCAGGAGCGTCTGGTCGTTGGCTCTGTACAGGGCCTGGGAATCTGCATTTCATAGGCGCTCCTCTCTGGACCCTTCGTTCGGACCCCTGGGGAATCTGTCTGGTGTCCAGGCAGCAGCAGAGACGGGTCTGCAAGTCTGGGGTTCCGGAGGGAATCGGGTTGGTCGGGTTTGAAAGGCTCAAGTGTGAATCTTCTTCCTAGGCTGCCCCTGTGATGTAGCCCCGAAGAGCAAAGCCTGCGCTCCCAGGACCGACCGGCAGAGGGCGCAAGGCACCAGGGCGACCTTCAACTCTCGTGACTGCAGCGGCCAGGGCCTCTCTACTGGACACGTTCCCAGGAACCAACCTCGAGCCACTGCCCCCGGACTGGCCCTGAGAGCCGGAGACATTTTTTAAATTATTTATTTATGCTTCTGATTTGGGACGGTCGGTGGAGAAAATTAAAAAGATTTTCAAGAATTTGACTCGGTGGAGCTGGAGCGATAGCACAGCGGGTAGGGTGTTTGCCTTGCAGGTGGCCGACCCGGGCTCGATTCCCAGCATCCAGGATGGTCCCCCGAGCACCGCCAGGAGTAATTCCTGAGTGCAAAGCCAGGAGTAACCCCTGTGCATCGCGGGGTGTGACCCAAAAAGAAAAAAGGAAAAAAATTGACTCGTACCTTGTGTTTCTCGGTCTCCGAACCTGCCAAGCCCTGAGGTGACAAGCCCTCCTCACTTGCTCTGGTCCCCAGCTGTAAACTAAGACTGGGCCTCGGGCCCGAGCTGCTGCTTCGAGGGCATTCGTGGAGCGAACCTCTGCGGGATAGTTCCAGCGTTTCTGCGCATGCGTGCCCGGGAGAGCTAGCGCATGGGGGTGACCCCCATACCGCAGGGTTAAGACCACTGATCCCCCCAAAAAAACAGAATGTGTCTTCTAAACTCAGGAGCAGGGATGTGGGTGCAGGACAGATGCCCCCTGAGAACAAGATGAACACAGCCCAGCCCCCAAGACAAATGTTTCTTACACCCCAAGATTATGAGGGGGTCTTTGGTGCGAAAGAGGAGAGGCTGAGGCCCCAGAGGGTGCCACAGTGGGGGGAGGGGGGAGAGACCCTGATCTCAGGACGTGGGCGCTGGGTTCCCAGACACCTAAAGAGAGAATCTGATTTTCCTCCTTCTGACTTTTGTAACTGGGTCTGGTGTGTGCACCCCCACACCAAGTCAAACCCCAGTTGGACATCGGAGTTCCCGCTGAGTGAGCACCACAGGGCTAGGAGGAGCAGGGAGATCCCACACACAGATGCCCAGGAACTAAATGGCCTCTGAACTAAAAAGTGTTTCTATTTCCTCTTGGGCCATTCCCCAGAGATGCTTAGGATCACATCCAGCTGGAGGCTGCTGGGTCCCTTCTGGCATGGCTGGGGGCCATGCAGTGCCAAGGGTGGACCCAGACACTCTGGGGAAGTCATCCACTGCCCTGCCCTTCTCCCATTTAAACTAACCAGTTTGGTGTAACACTGTAGCACTGTCCTCCCATTGTTCATTAATTTGCTCTAGTGGGCCCAGTAACTGTCTCCATGGTGAGACTTGTTACTGTGTTTGGCATATCCAATACATCACGGGGAGCTTGCCAGGCTTTGCTGTGCAGGCGAGATAATCTCAGTAGCTTCAAAACGATTTTACTGGGAGCCTTGTTTTGTTTTGTGGTCACACCCAGCAATCCTCAGGGATTACTCCTGGTTCTGCACTCAGGAATTTCTCCTGGTGGTACTTGGGGGACCAGGGATCCAACCCCTGTCGGCCATGTGCAAGGCTAGCGCCCTCCCCACTGAACTACCGCTCCAACCCCCTTGTAAGCTTTTACTGGGGGATGGGGGTACATTAACAAACCCAGTGTCCTGAAACACACACTCACTCCCATGCATCTGCACCCCAGGAATCCGCATAGGCCTCTCAGGGCTGAAATCCAGCTGGGGTATGG